GATTTTAATCAATACAGTATACTTATATACTAATGCCAATTGATTACATACACTGTACACTCTTGTCCTATATGTTCGTAGGAAATGTCAAATTTTCCCCTAAAATCAAAACTTTTTAATTTATAAATTTGTACCAAAAAATTTCAAACAATAGAATCAAATCTATATAACATTTTACATCCATCAAGCATAATTTCAACTTCCAAATGCTTGGTGGTAACAAGTGAAATTTGACCATTAATACTACATGATCCACAGAACAACTGTGGATAATATAAACACAGTACTGTGGTACTAAGGGACTCCACCACCACTACCCAGTGCAAGTTATGAAGGTGTTATTTGACTGTGCTGGCTGGGCAAATATCCAAAGGGTATTTGACCGTTAGCTGCGGAGATTGTCTATGATTTTAATGGGATTGTGGACAGGATGGCTGTGGGCATTATTACACTGCTTAATCATTATCTCCCTTGTGATACTCCAAGATGTCCCACTTCTCTTATGGACATATAATTGGGTTAGGTTAGATAAACATTTTTTAGTCTATACCTAAACTGTATCATAACTGTTAAACGTTGAGCTGTTGGTTAATAGATTTATAATTTAATCATGTTCTATCTTCCTTTACGTGTTCCTATCTCTACTGTGTTACAATAGTTTAAAGTTATCAATAAAATAATATGTAGTATATTACAAGAACCTTAGAACCTTCAAGATATTATATTATATTTATAATTTGTTAGTCAAATTGATACAGTAAAACCATTGCTAAATATATTGAATAATAATTATTGGCATACAATAATATGATATATAAGTGAGGGTAAAATAGTGCTATAAGCCGTGCCTACACATCAAGTCTCTTACCTCCTCACAACTATTATAAGGCTCTCTCTCTCTTACACCACCATAATCCCTGCACACTTATCATTCATAGTAAAACACAAATGAGTCCTCACAATACAATATTACAGCAATACAAACCAATTTTCTTCAGAATATTTTTCGATGCTGTGTTTGCATGGAGGAGGGCATGGCACACCACACACTCTTCCTCCTAACCACTCCCTCTTCCTCCCATCCACACCCTCTTCCTCCCATGCACATCCTCTTCCTCCCATCCACAAACACTACCTCCCATCCACACACCCAAAAGGTTGGGTGGATGGGATGGGTAGGTATGTGAGTTGGGTTGGAGGGGAGGTGGTGTAGGAGGAGGGTTGGGTGGGAGGGAGGGGGGGTGGGAGGGAGGGAGGGTGGGTGGGGGTGTTTGGGAGGGAGTGTTGGGTATAAGGAAAGGTGTGAGAGAGGGTGAGTGTATGGATGGGAGTGAGGGTGTGTGTGGGGGAGGTCCTCCCATACACACACCCTCACTCCCATCCATACACTCACACACCCAGCCTCCCACCTTTAATGTGTGTGGATGGGACTAAGGTTTTCTCATTTCTTTCAGATTGTGCGCCTCCGAGGTGAACGTCTGACTGAAGTGAACGTGTGGCTGGTCGAGAACTCCTCCAAACAGGTAAAGTACTTATGACAATATATAATGTCTATATGCAAGTATTTATGAATGTTATGTTTTAAAGTTTTTTGTATTCCAGGTTTGTTTGTGTGGCTGACTGGACCTACTACAAGGTGCTTCTTGGAGGTAATAAAGGTAAAGTTTTTCAAGTTATAGTTGATAGCACTAACAGCACCTAGTTAGACGTAGAATGCACAGTAGTAACTCCGCCTTGTTCAGTCGAACATGCCGGTCCCAAGCCCGGATAAAGGAGGAGGGCTACTGCAGTGTTGTATCTACCATCGCCACCTAACAAACTTACATTATAAATTGTTCTGAAAAAGGTAATGTGTTCTGTCAGCAACATAGAAAAAAATTACATATATACTGTACATTGTGTACTATGTTTTTATATCTTTGTAGATAGGTAATACAAAATAAAGAATTGAATAGACAGTATATTTTTTATTTTCATATGTATACACTACACATTTATTGCAATATACAATAACAGTCCAGAAGCTGATACAGAAATACAAAATATCCTTGGTCATATAGCCTGGTTTTATACCTGCACTGTCTAGGTACAGTATATATCAATTTACTGGCTATTCCTGCAGTCTTATGTTCTTAAACCTACATTACCAAATATTAGCACAGAAGAAAATCAGAGAAAACTTGTAATGATTGGCAACATCACTAGATATCTTTCTCCCGTGTCCCAAGAAATCACATTACAGTACCACTACCATTATTATTTCTCGGCAGATACATCAGTGATGGTGAGGCCGTCACATTACCAGCGGTTGTGGATTTCACAATTCAACCTTTATATTGCAGACTCCACATAAGGTGAGTTTATTTCACTAGACCTTAAGGTTTTATAAAGTATCTTGTCAGGTTTTGGTCCTACACAAAATTTAGCTTTAGATAATAATGGAAGTCTTGTACTTTGTGAATAATTTTGGCCAGGCACAGTACAGATATATTTCTAAATTTATCCGTTACCAAGTCTTTAGGGGGCGGGGTGGGGTGGTGGGGGGTTCATAAGTTGTTTATTACAATTTTACAAGATGTTTTCTTCTATATTTTCAGGTAAAACACTTCCATTCAGCAATTGGTGTGCAGTGTCCAGATTGTCAACATTTAGTAAGTAAAATTCTTACTGTACTTTACTTACATTTACTGTATATATACAATACTTTCAAATTAATAGTAAGTATGCAATCAAAAATGTTCTTTACGGTCATGGCCGATGAATTTCAAAATGAACACGACGCCCGTTCTCTCGGTAAGGTTGTCAAAATCCTTTGTCCGAGGCGTCCGTGACTTAAATGCATTATTTGTGCCATCTGTGGGTATCTAGTAGTTTTGATTACATGTACCCAATAGGGCATCACATGGGCATTAGTTTGTAACAGTTGTACGTACAATGAATGGCACTTTGATGTCAATTGGTGATAATTATATGTAATTAATGTATATATCATGTTCTAAGTTACCCAGAAGCCATCATGTGGGTGTATCCAAGTTGATCACTTTAGTTCATGTTTCAGGTATAGTTTACAGTTCTACTGTACTTGTGGTTTATTTAGATCATTATCATTCAACTTCGGAATATGAAATGTAAAGTTTATTCAATATTTATTTATTTATTTATTGTTATACACAGACATTGTAGGAGTACAAACCATTACAAACACCTCCTAGTGCAAGTGCCTTTACCAGTGCAAGTGCCTTTACCAGTGCAAGTGCCTCTACCACTACAAACGCCTCCCCCGGTACAAACGCCTCCCCCGGTACAAACGCCTCCCCCGGTACAAACGCCTCCCCCTGGTACAAACGCCTCCCCCGGTACAAACACCATCCCTCAACAAGCCACCAGAGGCCTTCCCACACTGAACAACAATACAAACCACTAAGAGAAATGGATCCGTGCGAGATATTCAAACCTCTCACAATCCGTTTGATTGATGTCCGTGTATCTCGTTGTACACCTTGCTGATACTTCACCTGTGGACGAAAAATATGCAGTATTATAAAATGGAAATTTTTTGCAACCACAACAAAACTGACTACCACTGTAGTTAATAATGCTACTGTACATAATGTATCTTGTTATTTTTAATACTTTGTGTGGCTTTAATCAAGGTCCACTCCTACAGTCTTGAATGCATTAGTACAGTACTTTAAGTATTTTCTCAAGTTTTGCTAAATTATAACAAAAATATTTCCGTAATACTTAACTTTCACAGTACACTATTCTTACAGTAGTGTACAGAACACCAATTCTGTTCTTTCTTAGTAAGGTGGTAGTCATCAAGGTGTGGGATGCTAGACAGTCGTGGTCACCTTGTTGTGTCTGGTCCATCTATCTTGTACACCAACCACCTGCAACATGATTATATTTGTTTTTAGATACTCTACATCTGAATTAATTAAGCTATTTTATATCACAACCAATACACAATATTGAGGTTAACTTGTACTGTATGTTCTTAAATGCACTATTTTAAGTAATATATCAAGTTTTGCTAAATTATATAAAAAAGGTTTCAGTAATACTTAACTTTTACATTGCAGTACACTATTCTTACAGTAGTGTACAGAACACCAATTCTGTTCTTTCTTAGTAAGGTGGTAGTCCTCAAGGTGTGGGATGCTAGACAGTCGTGGTCACCTTGTTGTGTCTGGTCCATCTATCTTGTACACCAACCACCTGCAACATGATTATATTTGTTTTTAGATACTCTACATCTGAATTTATTAAGCTATTTTATATCACTACCAATACACAATATTGAGGTTAACTTGTACTGTATGTTCTTAAATGCACTATTTTAAGTAATATATCAAGTTTTGCTAAATTATATAAAAAAGGTTTCAGTAATACTTAACTTTTACATTGCAGTACACTATTCTTACAGTAGTGTACAGAACACCAATTCTGTTCTTTCTTAGTAAGGTGGTAGTCTTCAAGGTGTGGGATGCTAGACAGTCGTGGTCACCTTGTTGTGTCTGATCCATCTATCTTGTACACCAACCACCTGCAACATGGTTTGGATTTAGATCAATCTTAATTAGCCTTAATGTATTACTACCAATACACAACATTTACTCCAGAATTTCTTGGAATCTAAACTTGCATTCTTATATATATGTGATATATCCATACACTCAAACACCCTCCTATATCACCTTACACAGGAGCATTGTCCTTCTCACTTTTGGCTGCAGCAGTCTTCATCTAGGCATCATCCCCCACATGCCTTCATAGTACATGCTATTTTTTGCATCACATTTTTAACATGCACTCCATTCACCATTGCTTGAGCACACCACCATCCATGCATGGCCCCACTGTCAGGCGCCAGATCCTATCTGAGCCCCCACCCCCCACTATCAGAGCACCCCACCCCACAGCTCCCCGTCCATATCACCCCCACACGCCCAATGTAGCCCCCATTGTACGAGCGCCCCTGCACTGTACGAGCGCCCCTCCACCGCCCAATGCTCCTCCTTTCCAACCCTTCACACAAAGTAAGTCCCTCCTCTCGAGTCTTACTTCCAGTAGTTTTAGGGGATGGCCATACTAAGATACATAAGTAATTTACCTAAGAAGGCTGAAGTAACATGCTGGGTGTTACATCTTGCTCAAGGTGTCGGTCACTTCCTCTACATTGGCATTCACGTACGTCAGCTGTCACCTGCAACATGTTTAAAGTTGTAATTTATGTACAATGAAGTTTAAACATACAATTTCCATCTACCACCAGACTACATGTACTTATACTGTCCCCAATTGTTTATTTAAATACCTTATCTACAAAAGATCTTATTTTAAGTTGCATTAGTGTTTTAGTTTTCTTGATACCTCAACAACTAACATTTACCACAACAATAGTATAGCCAATCATAACAAGCCTTCATCACCAATACTGCTACACTACTAAATCTCTCCACACTGCTTCATACACAACAGTTTACCACTGTTCACTTACTGAATCCTCCCTCCCTTCCTCCCACCCCTCAAGCCCCCTTAGGTATTCCCCTTGACAACTTGGTCACATTTAGCTTGAATGAAAAACTTTACCAACACACCTGCTCACCCCATATGCCAATACACAAGCCATATTGTCCCCCCCACCCTAATTACAACAAGCCACACCCACACAATGTTTAATGATTTCACAAGTCCCACAAGCTTCCCTTGCCTAAATAAAACTCAGTAAGTTGACTTTACCTGTTCTGGCATTTTAAGTTATTTCTCCTTAGGTTCAGTATGATGTTACTTCTGGCCAGCTTAACCTGAGGAGAAAGTCAGTACAGTACACGATTAGATTTTGAAAAGGAAACTGCAAAGTACGTAAGCTATTGATTTTTAATAATTTAAACAAGTGAAATTTTTTAACTTTCTGAATTCATGATCAGTTAACTTGTGGCAAATTTTAAGTTACATTCTTTAATATATTTGTTATCCAATATATAAACTATATAATAGGTAACTTAATATTAATTTGGGTTAGTCTAGATTAGTTACATTTAATCTATGTTAGGCTGATTAGGTTAGTTAATTTGTTAGTTAAAACCCACCTACTAACAACCAGCTTTACTTACTATTAATCACATTACTACTACTAATGCTCACCAATACTGTAACTAATTGCCATTTAGTCCTGTACATTTTTATAGCACTTTATTAAGCTTTCCCAAATCTCTGCAGCTAATCTTAATTTGACTCCCAGCTCAGTTTATCTAGACACAGCTCTCCAGAGCCCGTTGTAAAATTGCAGTTTCGTCGAATATGCCCTCGTAGTTTAGAAATTCGTTTATCCTGTGTATTTTGGGTCGATTCAATGAAATGTGGCCTTTATTTCCAGGGGAAAGCACCCTCTTTAGAATTATATCCCCCCCCCCAAAAAAGCATGGAAATCTTTAAAACTCCTTTCTGACATTCTTTGCTCCCTGGTTAAAATGGTGTTAGAAATACTCCAATAAGGAGATCTAAAGGTTGGGGATGGTTAAAAGTCAGGCATGTACTGGCCGAAACTGCAATAATACCGAGCCCTCCAACACACACACAGTCCTCCAACACACACACACACACACACAGTCCTCCAACACACACACACAGTCCTCCAACACACACAACACACACACACACACAGTCCTCCAACACACACACACACACACACACACACAGTCCTCAACACACACACACACACACAGTCCTCCAACACACACACACACACACACACACACACAGTCCTCCAACACACACACACACAGTCCTCCAACACACACACACACACACACACACACAGTCCTCCAACACACACACACAGTCTCCACACACACACACAGTTCTCCAGAGCCCTCCAACACACACACACACACACACTGATCCAGTCACACACACACACACACACAGTTCTCCAGAGCCCTCCAACACACACACACACAGTTCTCCAGAGCTCTACAACACACAGTTCTCCAGAGCCCTCCAACACACACACACAGTCCTCCAACACACACACACACAGTTCTCCAGAGCTCTACAACACACACAGTTCTCCAGAGCCCTCCAACACACACACACACACACACACACAGTCCTCCAGAGCCCTCCAACATTCACAGTCAGCCAGGTCCCACACACACACCCTCCACTGCCCAGTGTAGGAGCACAGTGTTGAGTGGTTTATGGGCTGACCATAATAGCTAAGATAATATATAACTAACTTAACTGATGAGGCTGAAGTAACATGCTGGGTGTTAAGTCTTGCTCAAGGTTCTGTCACTTCTCCATTGGCCTTCAAGTACACCAGCTGTCACCTGCAACATGCTTAAAGTTGTAATTTACGTAGAATGAAAATTAAACTTGCAACTTCCATCTACCACTACACCACGTGTACTCACAGTCCCCAACTGTTTACATAAACCATTACCTCCACACTAAAACTATAGCATTTTTAGATCTCATGGTGTTGTCCCGACCTCCGTAAAGTGTCATTAATGCAAGAACGAATGTAAGTGTCGTCAAGACCAACATGTGGTAACTCCAACGAGAACCAGGCCAATAAGGTAAGAAATAAGGGATTCCAACATATGGCGAGAGTCGGTTAGATTAGGTCCGGTTTATGTTTTTATAGGTTTTTTTTTTGCATTTTTCATTCGCCGAGCCAATATTTTTTTCGGGAAACACCACCAAAAAATCTATTAAAAACGACCAATTTCCGACGGAAATGGAGGTCATAACCGATCTAAACACAAATACGCTAATATTATTTTGTTTTACTTTCTAATTGTTGTGTGCACATACAAATGGACCTTTTTACACCAGGAGACAACCAAGGAACCTCCAGGTTACGTTACGTTGTTAGGTTAGTTATGGTGCTTTTTGGTTGTTGACCAATGGGTTTTTCCGATTGTAAAATCCATGGTTGTCCACTTAAAAAAATTACCAGGAACCTTAATGTTACGGGATTTAATATATACTGTATTCTGAAACGTCTCGCCCTCTAGCCTAGCCTAGCCTAGCCCAGCCCCTTACCCCTTGCCCGCCCTACCTCCTACCTCCACCCACTTGCCCCTACACCTGCCTCGCCCCGCCCGCCCGCCCGCCCCACCCCGCCCCGCGCCCTCGCCCGGCTCCCTACCTCACCTCACCTTGCCCGGCTCCTACCTCACCTCCCCTTGCCCGGCTCCCTACCTCACCTACCCCCACGGCTCCCTCCTTGCCTCCTTACCCAAACCAGCTGGCTCGCTCCTCCTCCCTCCTCCTCCCCTTCCTTCCTTCGTCCCGTCCGTCCATCCCTCCCTCCTCCCTCCTCCTTCCTTCCTTCCTTCCTTCCTCCCTCCTCCCTCCCTCCCCTCCCTCCCTCCCTCCTTCCTTCCTTCCTTCGTCCATCCCTCCCTCCCTCCCTCCCTTCCTCCCTCCCTGATTCCCTACCTCGCTTCGCCTCCCACCCCTGCCCTTCCCTCCCGCCTCCTTGGCTCCCTACCTCCCTTCCCCCCGGCTCCACCTCCCTCCCCGGCTCCCTCCCTTGCCTCCCCGGCTCCTCCTTACCTCGCCTCCTACCCAGACCGGCTGGCTAGCTCGCCCTCCCTCCCTCCCCTCCTTCCTTCGCCTCACCCGGCTCCCCCACCTCGCCTCGCCTCCCCCTGCCCTTCCCTCGCCTCACTCCTTGGCCCCTACCTCCCCAGCCCAGCTCCCTACCTCACCTCACCCGGCTCCCTACCTCGCCTCGCTCCCTACCTCCACCTGCCCGGCTCCTCCTCCCTTTCCCACCTCGCCCAGCTCCCTCCCCTCCGCCTCACCCTGGCTCCTCCTCGCCTCCCACCCCCCCAGCTCCCTCCCTCGCCTCACCCGCCTCACCCCCCGGCTCCTCCTCCTCCCCGCCCAGCTCCCTCCCTCGCCTCCCCGCCCCTCCTCCCTCGCCTCACCCCGCCCGGCTCCTCCTCGCCTACCCCGCCCAGCTCCTCCCTCGCCTCCCCCCGCCCGTTCCCTCCCTCCCTCCGCCTCCACCCCTCCCTTGCCTCCCCCCCGGCTCCTCCTCGCCACGCCCGCCACACCCCGCCAGCTCCTTCCCACGCCACACCCGCCCGGCTCCTCCCCTCCCTCGCCTCACCCGGCTCCCCCCCTCCCCTCCTCGCCTCACCCCGCCAGCTCCTCCTTGCCTCACCCTGGCTCCTCCTCCTCGCCTCACCCCTTGGCTCCCTCCTCGCCACCTCACCCCACCCCGGCTCCCTCCTCGCCTCACCCCTTGGCTCCTCCCTCCCTCCCCACCCCGCCCAGCCCCTCCTCGCCTCACCCCGCCCGGCTCCCTCCCTCGCCTCACCCCGCCCGGCTAGAACCCTTTAATAAATTGTTTCAACTCCCAGAAATCGTAGCTAAAGAGAAAGCAAAGAACTAGCCAGTAAAAATACATCTTAATTCCGCCAAAAATACTTCTATTTGTGTTAAATCTAGTGAATGCGGCGCAGTTGTCAATGGTGAATACAGTGGTGGTGATGAACTGCGCAGTTGTTGAGTTATGACCACCCGGCTCCCCCATAAGTGTGTTGGGCTTCGAAGCAAGAAATAAAAAATAAATAAAACGGTAATCTAACCCAATCTGGTCATTGTACTCACTTACTGGTTAATTATTACCTAAATACTGATGAACGGTTTACGCTCGTTACTCACTACCGGCTCATAGTTTAGGCTCGTTTGTCATGACTCATTTGGCGGTATATTTGCCTAAAACATTAAGAAATTACTGGTTAGACGTTAGAGAGCCACTTAATATAATACTAATGTATTTGTTTAAGCTGCACAGTAGGTACCATGGGCCTTAGAGCCCAGTGAAACTTGGGGATACGACCCTATGAACTGCAACAACCGGCCGGCAAGTTTTGGACTTAAATCAGCATTTATTACGCCATAATTAAGTATATTAAACACTACCCAAAAGAATAACCATTTCTCTTGGCCATTTTGACTGTAGGCAGTCGGGCAAAAAATGTACACGTATATAAAGGAGACTAGAGGAGCGGCGCTTACCTGCCTGTCAGCTGCAGTCAGTGAGTGGCGAGTGGTCGGTGAGGAAAGGGACGAAGGCCAGTTAGTCGAGGCCTTATATGTCAAGGTTCACAGTGACGTCACGAAGCTTCACTGAATCATTTTTTTGCTTCATTGAAGCATTTGAAGCTTCGAACTTGTATATACGTTAAAATACGTAAAAACGTCAAATTTGTGGCCCGATTTAACTTTTCATTAACTTTAAGGGAATAATACAACGAAAACAGTGTCCCAGAAGGAAAAGAAAAGCAAAAACAAAGCAAAACGGCTCTGTGAGCGGCAGTTTTTGGAGTAACTATTATATTTAATCACAGAAAACGGAGCAGATATTTAATCATAGAAAACGGAGGAGGAGTAACTATTATATTTAATCACAAAATGGAGGGGTAACTATTATATTTAATCACAAAATGGAGGGGTAACTATTATATTTAATCACAAAATGGAGGGGTAACTATTATATTTAATCACAAAATGGAGGGGTAACTATTATATTTAATCACAAAATGGAGGGATAACTATTATATTTAATCACAAAATGGAGGGGTAACTATTATATTTAATCACACAAAACGAAGCAGGAGTAACTATTATATTTAATCAGTGTTCAGTCGCAGCCAATATATTAAATATTGACCTCATAGATAATTTTTCTATTCAACTTGTTTATATGTTGAGAGTCTCGGTCTGTCCTTCACTGCCGCCAACAGTAGTGAAGTAGTTGGGTTGGTTGGTGATACAGAGATGAACCATTAGCTCAGAGGTTAAGAGTACTGCTTACTGTTCATGGTGGTCATATACTCCTATTGGTATTATTTCTGGTTATGTGTGTATTCTTAGCCCTTATCAGCCGCTTTAACAAGAGTTTTATTGTGTATATAATGTGCTTTATTTATTAACAGCTTTTAGGAGAATTACAATATTGAAAACGATCGTATTTTTATTATTTATTAACAATGTCATTATTTTATGCTGTCAGTCCATTAATTTACACATGACGTCTCAATAAGGTTAAACAGGGACAATTTCAACAGTTTATTGATCTTTATTGGGAATTTATCACATGTTCAGGAAAAATACATCATGGATACTAGAGTTGAGCACTTGGAGGCTTTATTAATACATTACACCATAAAACAAGAGAAACAATATTTGTAATACAATAAAGTACACATTAGGGTGTGAACTACACATACAAGATTATTATATAGTACATAATGTAATAGACCTAAGAGGGTGACACAAGATGTCTGGGGTCAGGTTGTATGAGGGTGATTAATCTAAAGTTTATTCACTGAAATTTTAATATATAGAAAAACTTTTTCTTTTAACAAAAAACGAAGCTACTGTAGTATGTGGTCTACAGAGCTGGAGCTACTGTAGTATGTGGTCTACAGAGCTGGAGCTACTGAAGTATGGTCTGAGTCTACAGAGCTGGAGCTACTGTAGTATGTGGTCTACAGAGCTGGAGCTACTGTAGTATGTGGTCTACAGAGCTGGTGCTACTGAAGTATGTGATCTACAGAGCTGGTGCTACTGAAGTATGTGGTCTACAGAGCTGGAGCTACTGTAGTATGTGCTCTACAGAGCTGGTGCTACTGTAGTATGTGGTCTACAGAGCTGGAGCTACTGAAGTATGTGGTCTACAGAGCTGGAGCTACTGTAGTAGTCTACAGAGCTACTGTAGAGTCTACTGAAGTATGTGGTCTACAGAGTTGGTGCTACTGAAGTATGTGGTCTACAGAGTTGGTGCTACTGTAATATGTGGTCTACAAAGTTGGTGCTACTGAAGTATGTAGTCTACAGAGCTGGAGCTACTGAAGTATGTGGTCTACAGAGTTGGTGCTACTGTAGTATGTGGTCTACAAAGTTGGTGCTACTGTAATATGTGGTCTACAGAGTTGGTGCTACTGAAGTATGTGGTCTACAGAGTTGGTGCTACTGTAATATGTGGTCTACAGAGTTGGTGCTACTGAAGTATGTGGTCAGCTTGTGCTACTGTGTATGTGATCTACAGAGCTGGAGCTACTGTAGTATGTGGCCTAGAGCTGGTGCTACTGGTATGTGGTCTGCTTGTGCTCTGGTATGTGGTCTCAGAGCTGGAGCTACTGTAGTATGTGGTCTACAGAGTTGGTGCTACTGTAGTATGTGATCTACAGAGCTGGAGCTACTGTGGTATGTGGTCTAGAGCTGGTGCTACTGTAGTATGTGGTCTCAGAGCTGGAGCTACTGTAGTATGTGGTCTACAGAGCTGGAGCTACTGTAGTATGTGGTCTAGAGCTGGTGCTACTGTAGTATGTGGTCTACAGAGCTGGTGCTACTGTAGTATGTGGTCTAGAGTTGGTGCTACTGTAGTATGTGGTCTAGAGCTGGTGCTACTGTAGTATGTGGTCTCTAGGCTGGAGCTACTGTAGTATGTGGTCTACAGAGTTGGTGCTACTGTAGTATGTGGTCTACAGAGCTGGAGCTACTGTAGTATGTGGTCTACAGGCTGGTGCTACTGTAGTATGTGGTCTAGAGCTGGTGCTACTGTAGTATGTGGTCTACAGAGCTGGTGCTACTGTGGTATGTGGTCTCTGGGCTGGAGCTACTGAGTATGTGGTCTACAGAGCTGGAGCTACTGTAGTATGTGGTCTACAGAGTTGGTGCTACTGTAGTATGGTCTAGAGCTGGAGCTACTGTGGTATGTGGTCAGAGTTGGTGCTACTGTTCACAGGCTGTGTCTGTGTATGTGTCTCGAGCTGGAGCTACTGTAGTATGTGGTCTACAGGCTGGTGCTACTGTGGTATGTGGTCTACAGAGCTGGTGCTACTGTGTATGTGGTCTGGAGCTGGAGCTACTGAGTATGTGGTCTACAGAGCTGGAGCTACTGTAGTATGTGGTCTCTGAAGTTGGTGCTGTAGTATGTGGTCTAGAGCTGGAGCTACTGTAGTATGTGGTCTACAGGTTGGTGCTACTGTAGTATGTGAGGCGCTACGAGATGGCACAGAGCTACTACTGTATGTGGTCTAAGAGCTGGGCTACTGTAGTATGTGAGCTACAGGCTTGTGCTACTGTAGTATGTGGTCTACAGGCTGGAGCTACTGTAGTATGTGGTCTAGAGCTTGTGCTACTGTAGTATGTGAAGAGATGAGAAAACCAAGTGGGGGAGAGAAACCAAAAGAGGGAAGTTTAAATAGCCAAGACTTGTGCCATACCCTGTCAAATGCTTTGGAGATGTCGAGGGCCACGACAAAAGTTTCCCCATAATCCCTGTCAGAAACACTTCCCATATTCCTCACATTCAAACTCCTTCACACCATTGAGTGCTAGAGTGTACCAGGTAGTGCCAGAGTGTACCAGGTAGTGCCAGAGTGTACCAGGTAGTGCCAGAGTGTACCAGGTAGTGCTAGAGTGTACCAGGTAGTGCTAGAGTGTACCAGGTAGTGCCAGAGTGTACCAGGTAGTGCAGAGTGTACCAGGTAGTGCAGAGTGTACCAGGTAGTACTAGAGGTACCAGTAGTGCTAGAGTGTACCAGGTAGTGCTAGAGTGTACCAGGTAGTGCCAGAGTGTACCAGGTAGTGCTAGAGTGTACCAGGTAAAAGCAGAGTGTACCAGGTAGTGCCAGAGTGTACCAGGTAGTGCTAGAGTGTACCAGGTAGTGCCAGAGTGTACCAGGTAGGTACAGAGTGTACCAGGTAGTGCTAGAGTGTACCAGGTAGTGCTAGAGTGTACCAGGTAGTGCTAGAGTGTACCAGGTAGTGCAGAGGTACCAGGTAGTGCCAGAGTGTACCAGGTAGTGCTAGAGTGTACCAGGTAGTGCCAGAGTGTACCAGGGAGTGCAGAGTGTACCAGGTAGTGCTAGAGTGTACCAGGTAGTGCTAGAGTGTACCAGGTAGTGCCAGAGTGTACCAGGTAGTGCTAGGAGGTACCAGGAAAGCAGCAGAGTGTACCAGGTAGTGCCAGAGTGTACCAGGTAGTGCTAGGAGTGTACCAGGGTAGTGCTAGAGTGTACCAGGTAGTGCTAGAGTGTACCAGAAAAGCCAGAGTGTACTAGGTAGGTGCTAGAGTGTACCAGGTGAAAGTTAGAGTGTACCAGGTAGTGCTGAGGTAATAGAAAGGAGTGTTCAGAAAAGCAGGTAGTGCTAGAGTGTACCAGGTAGTGCCAGAGTGTACTAGGTAGTAAGCAGAGTGTACTAGGTAGTGCCAGAGTGCCCAGGTGTGCTAGAGTGTACCAGGTGTAGTTAGAGGTACCAGAAAAGCAGAGTGTTTCAGGTAGTTAGTACCAGGTAGTGCTAGAGGTACTATAGTGTTATGTACCAGGAAAAGTAGAGTGTACCAGGTAGTGCTAGAGTGTACCAGGTAGTGCCAGAGTGTACCAGGTAGTGCCAGAGTGTACCAGGTAGTGCTAGAGTGTACCAGGTAGTGCTAGAGTGTACCAGGTAGTGCCAGAGTGTACCAGGTAGTGCTAGAGTGTACCAGGTAGTGCTAGAGTGTACCAGGTAGTACTAGAGTGTACCAGGTAGTACTAGAGTGTACCAGGTAGCCTGGTGTGTACCAGGTAGCCGGGTGTGTACACAACTGCTATACACCCGACCGGCACACAAAATCTATAAAAACAACTGTGTTTTGCCGAGTCGCTTTATAGCTAACCTAACTTAACCTTACTTAACCAAACCCTAACCTAACCAAACTGTAAACTTAAACATCATTAATTTAGAAATACATTTTTAATCTTATTTTACCCCCAATGGTATAATAAAAAAAATTATTTATTGTCCTTTATGGTAAAAATGAATAAGAAAATTCACGTAGTTTCATCATTAATATATTGTTTATACGAACTGAAATGCGTTTGTAGTCGATTAGCGAGACATTTTCATTTAGTTGACTTGAGGAAATCACTTTTATTATGTTAGTTTATTTTTAACAATATATATTAAACCATTGATGTAGTTAAGATCGTGAACGAGGTTGTTGGTTAATTTTAACTATGATCAGTTGAATATTGGCCCCCATTCGATAGTTTCAGGCTGGTTAAACTCAGGGTTAATCTACAGGTGAGCACTTGGGGGTTAATCTACAGGTGAGCACTTGGGGGTTAATCTTCAGGTGAGCACTTGGGGGTTAATCTACAGGTGAGCACCCAAGCACCTACAGGTGAGGCACTTGGGGTTAATCATATAGATTTGGGGGCACCCAGGTGTTCTGCTAATCACAGGTGAGCACTTGGGGGTTAATCTTCAGGTGAGCAACTGGGGTTAATCTACAGGTGAGCACTTGGGGTTAATCTCAGGTGAGCACTTGGGGTTGAATTCTACAGGTGAGCACTTTGGGGATTAATCAACAGGTGAGCACTTGGGGTTAATTCACAGGTGAAAATTTAAAGCACCCACAGGTGAGCACTTGGGGGTTAATCTACAGGTGAGCACTTGGGGGTTAATCTACAGGTGAGCACTTGGGGGTTAATCTTCAGGTGAGCACTTGGGGGTTAATCTACAGGTGAGCACTTAGGGGTTAATCTACAGGTGAGCACTTAGGGGGTTAATCTACAGGTGAGCACTTAGGGGTTAACCTACAGGTAATCAACAAATCCTAAATTGGCTAAATATCAATCAAATTCTTAACTACACCAATGGTTAATATATTTCAACAATAAATACAGGTAAAATAAAACCTCCATCTAATGAACTATATAGAGATGAAAGTCCATTATATCAAGGGTCCGTTAGATGTAAAACCTCCATCTAATGAACTATATAGAGATGAAAGTCCATTATATCAAGGGTCCGTTAGATGTAAAACCTCCATCTAATGAACTATATAGAGATGAAAGTCCATTATATCCAGGTTTCACTATAAAAATTAATACATTTTCATAAAATAACCTGAAAATAAAAACAGAAAAAAAAATTCACCATTTAAAATAGAAATTATATCTCTTTTACACCCCGGCACTGATCTCAAAAGTGGGTACCAGGTCACAAACACCTCCAATGGCACTGTACCCAGACCCTAATCGGTATCCATGGCATCATCATCATCATCATCATCGTCGTCTTCTTCCATGCTATCGTCGTCAGAATCGGAGTCGAACCATTCCAGGTCAGCTGGTTCGAGGGCAATGATTGTTTGCCACTCCTCCAATTTATTCAGATCTGTTATAAGAAGGTTAGGTTAGGTTCAGAGGGCTGTCTGTCTATCTGTCTATCTATCTGTCTATCTATCTACTCTACACATGAGGAATGCAAACCTAATCTAACCCTACACATGAGGAATGCAAACCTAATCTAACCCTACACATGAGGAATGCAAACCTAATCTAACCCTACACATGAGGAATGCAAACCTAATCTAACCCTACACATCACAAACCAGGGGTGGATCAAATACAATTGTATTTATTTTAATTGTATTAAATACTTTTCAATGTACAGTGGGGTATGCTATAACCAACGGATCCTACTACGAATATTCCTATAACAAACGGTTTCACCAATAAAATTGAGAATGCTATAACGAACGAAACTCCTACAACGAACATTATTTATTTATTTTTTTTTATTTTTTTTTTTTTTCTAATTTATTGTTTTTTTATTACAAATATTAATGATATTCTTTATTTCAGGGGTTTAGATGCATATTTATGCACTTTTTTACATTTTTTACAATTTTATATTATATTTTTCAGTGTTAAGTGGTTGTATTTGGGGGCCTGGAACGGATTAATCCTATAACGAGCGAATGCTATAACGAACAAGGTTCTAGAACCAATTAGATTCGTTATAGCATACCCCACTGTATTTGTAATTGTATTTTGGCACCCAGAAGAAAAAGTATTTTGTATTTGTGTTTGGACACTTGTTAGTGTTACGGCAGTAGGCTAGTTTAAGGCTACTGCACAAAGAAAATATTTGGAAGATTGTGGACTTCATTATTGCTGAGTCTCCCAAGGACTACAAGGAGAAGGTCCAGAAGGAAGAAATTCAAGAGAATGATCTTCCCATAAGAATCAACCAAGACAAAGATGACGTAATTGCCAAACGACCTCGTCTCTTTGCCTACATGCCTCCACCTGGGCCATCGATGGCAAGCCCGTCAACAAACCACACTACAGTGGTGAAGACGGAGCGTACCTAGAGGAAGGTGTTGTGCCTTTTGACATCAACCCACTGAAGTATTGGCGTGATATACAAAGCTTCAAAATTCTGAGGCACTTTGCCAAGACCATTCTAGGCTGCTGTGCTCTGTCGGCACCTTCTGAGAGTGTTTAGCAAAGCTGGTAATTTTTACACTCCTGAGCGAGCTAAGTTGAGCATTCCGGGCATTAATGATGATAAAATGTAATTCTGAGATGTAGGTATTGGGTTTGTGTTTTTGTACTTGGAAATAAAAGTATGTGTATTTTTACATCTTAATTTCAGAAGTATTTGTATTTATATTTGTATTTTTTAATTAAGGAATAAAAGCATTTGTATTTGACCGCTAAAAATCAGTATTTGATCCAACCCTGTCACAAACCACCCCTATCCTAACCTAACCTAACCCTACCCAAGCCTAATCTAGCCTAACACACCCCTAACCTAACCCTACCCAAGCCTAACACACCCCTAACCTAACCCTACCCAAGCCTAACACACCCCTAACCTAACCCTACCCAAGCCTAACACACCCCTAACCTAACCCTACCCAAGCCTAACACACCCCTAACCTAACCCCTACCCACCCTAATCTAACACACCCTAACCTAACCCTACCCAAGCCTAACACACCCCTAACCTAACCCTACCCAAGCCTAACACACCCCTAACCTAACCCTACCCAAGCCTAATCTCCTAACCTAACCCTACCCAAGCCTAACACACCCCTAACCTAACCCTACACAGCCACATCGCCTCACCTAGCGCGTAGAAATCGTTAAGCGTCAGTTGTTTATCCCCGTCCTCGTACATCCCGCCATAGACGTACAGGACTCCGCGCTTGACCGCCATACCCGCGTTGATCCTTGGGGGCGGATAAAACACCTCGCCTTTAACTGTATCCGTCTTGGTTTCTTTGGGGTCGGATGTGGATTGCGATGGCCCGACCGTAACCTGTAGAGAGGGGGGAAGATAATCCGTTAATATGTGTTTATTCTTATCCGAATTTCCCGATGGTCGGCTGCCTTGGGGTGGAAATGTAGTGGTTATTGACGTCGGATTGGATGCGATTGGTGGATGTGGGCCAATCATAAGTTGACAATTAGGGGTTGAAATATACTAATTAATTGTGATTGGTGGAAATTAGACAATCGATTTGTGTTTTTGTTATTATTTTCATTATTCTGAACACAATCGGGCGACCAATCAAAAAACACAACAGGACGACCAATCAAAAAACACAACAGGACGACCAATCAAAAAACACAACAGGACAACCAATCAAAAAACACAACAGGACAACCAATCAAAAAAATCACACAGGGCGACCAATCAAAAAACACAACACTGCGGTCAATACTCACGGTAAATACGCCATCGTCGCTCACCACTTTGTCCGGGGTTTCGTCCACCGTCATTTTGCCGAGTTTCTCCTCCATGTTCTGTGAAGAGATGGTTTGGTTAGGTTACGTTAGGTTTGGTTAGGTTACGTTAGGTTTGGTCAGGAGTTGCCGCAGTGTTCATCCTGACGTCCACTGAGCCTCCCCTACCACACACATGCTATAGCAGATGTACCATGTAAGCTATTGTACACTCAGGGGTGAATCTAGAGCCCTGAACAAAGGCTCAGGTGTCTTTAAGGATGAAATATATTAAATTTATTCTCTTTTTTGTTTAATAATTAGGAATTTTAAGCATTAATGGAGGATTGATATTGTTTATTTTATTATGAGGAATGTGTTTTGATACAGGGTGTCTCTGGGTGGGTGGGAGGGAGGGAGTACAGGGTGTCAGACAGGGTACACAGGGAGGAAACAAGCAGAGAGCCAGGAAGTACAGGGTGTCAGACAGGGTACACAGGGAGGAAACAAGCAGGGAGGGAGGGAGAACAGATAGATACACCCTACATATATCTCAGTAATAATTTCCTCCCTATTAAAACATTCTGGGTAAATCGATTTTCACGGGATTTTAACTTTAGTGACAAATCATGAGTTACCCCGAAGGCTTGGTGAATAATCTTATTGTTATCTTAGTTTACCTCATCTTCCTCCTCTTCATTCTCTTGTTCTTCCTCTTCCTCCTCTCCATCTTCCTTCTTTCTTCTCCTCTTCTTCTTCTCGCCAGATGTGTCCTTCTTCCCCGTAACAATAACTGAAATCAAGAAAGAGTGAGTTTGTTTGTTTTCTGGACCTAACCTAACCTAACCTGGACCTAACATAACCTAACCTAACCTGGACCTAACATAACCTAACCTAACCTGGACCTAACATAACCTAACCTAACCTGGACCTAACATAACCTAACCTAACCTGGACCTAACATAACCTAACCTAGACCAAACATTACGTAACCTAACTAATCCTGATCTAATTTAACTTGACCTAAACTAACCAAGACAGTACGACCAACACACGCACGCACACACACACACACAGAAGAAGGCCTTTGACTTTGTTGATCACTGCACTGTTATCAACAAGGCCATTGCACTAGAGTTACCCACCAACCTGGTCTCGTGGCTCACTGATTTCTTGAGTGAACGTCGTCAGGCAGTGAGGTACCAGGGTTCTGTCCCCACATTCCAACACCTCACCAGGGGACCAAGATGGAACCACTGTGCTTCCTCATCCTGATCAACGACGCTCTATCGGACACTCCTCACAGGTGGAAGTACGTGGATGACTGCACTGTGGGGGGTTTCAGTGGACAACACCTCACCGGACTACTCATCGCTACAAGGCACCCTGGACAGGCTACAGGCATGGACTACGGAGAACAAGGTCACCATCAACCACACCAAAACCGTAGTCATGCACATCAATACCGCCACCACTCAAGCAGTCACAGTGGGTGCCCATCCTCTCCAGTTAGTGCAGTCTGCCAACTCTTGGGTGTAACTATAGACAACAAACTGGACTGGAAAACCCATGTAGACAACACAGTCAAGGCAGCCTCGTACCGTCTCTACAGGCTACGACGACTTAGGTCACTTGGGACACCCACGCCAGAGCTGAGGACCATCTACAACGCCTTTATTCTCCCCAAACTAATGTATGCGTCATCAGCCTGGTCGTCTTCTCTCAACTCCACCCAACAACGTCAGCTAGAGAAGGTACAGAAGAGGGCCTGCAGAATCATGCTCGGCACAGACTACTCCGGCTACATCAACGCTCTCTCCACCTTGGAAATGCCATCCCTCAGTGACATCCACCACCAAGCACTAGCAAGGTATGGCAGTGGACTACTGCACCATCCTCGTCATCGCCACCTCCTGCCACCGGCAGCCCCCCGCCCACCTTGCGCAGTCCGCCACTACAACAAAATTCAGCCCATAAGAGCCCGCACCGATAGATATAAGAACAGCACCATCCCATCTATTGTTAAAATAATAAACAACTCCTGATTTATGTACTGCACAGCCCTGTAAATGTATTCAATGCATATTATATCATTATGTCTAAATCACATGTAAGTTTGTATGTTTTCAGACACCGGCTGCAACTCTATTAATAAACCGTTTATTATTATTATTACACACAAATACCAACCCTCATGCCAGATCTGCTTCATTAGATCGAGCTGATACACATCATTATAAAACACTCCTTCATAAACCTTTTATTATTATTATTATTACACACACAAATACCAACCCTCATGCCAGATCTGCTTCATTAGATCGAGCTGATACACATCATTATAAAACACTCCTTCATAAACCTTTTATTATTATTATTATTATTACACAAATACCAACCCTCATGCCAGATCTGCTTCATTAGATCGAGCTGATACACATCATTATAAAACACTCCTTCCAGTTCCTCTTCTTCTTCCACCTCGTCGTACACACCCCCGAAGAAAACGGCCTTGTCTCCGCTCGTTGACGCTAGGGTGAAACCGCATCTGGGAGACGGTCGTACGCCCCCATGCTTCACGCTCTGCCACCTCCACTTCGTCCCCGTTGTGTCGTGTTCTGACGGGAAGGATTTTAGATTACCCTAGTTAACATCTACGATACTGTCCCCTGGGTGTTACTTCACATCTAGGAGAATTAATAGATTTTGGGACACACATTCTTATTCAAAATACTACCAGGCTCAAAAAGACACATATTGCATTCCCATAAGACAAACTGAGACACATATTCTCTTAAATCATTCTATCGGGCTCCAAAAAAACACATATTCCGTATCCACATAAATCTTATTATGTGGATAAACAGATAAAAATATCCTCACGTACTTACTATCCGGCACTAGAAGATACATATCCGTGTGGGTTATTCCCTTATCAGCGTCCTTCTTCAGTTTTTCCTTGCTATATCCGCCATAGATAAGAATCCGGCCATCGGATAAGGGGGCCATTTGACACGCGGATCTAGGACATGGGCCATTACCTACGAAGGCCATAAATAAGATGATTCTCCAGTCAGGTGAGTGTGATTAGATGAAGGATCTATAATGATTAGGGATTGGATTATAGAGTACAATGAAATGTATATTCTCTTATGTATTTGTCCTTAAAACAATTATTTCTTTTACTTTTTGTCACAATGTGTATGAAGGAAGGTGTGTGTGTGTGTATGAAGGAAGGTGTGTGTGTGTGTGTGTATGAAGGAAGGTGTGTGTGTGTATGAAGGAAGGTGTGTGTGTGTGTGTATGAAGGAAGGTGTGTGTGTGTGTGTGTGTGTAAAAGGAAGGTGTGTGTGTGTGTGTGAAGGAAGGTGTGTGTGTGTGTGTGAAGGAAGGTGTGTGTGTATGAAGGAAGGTGTGTGTGTGTGTGTGTGTGTGTGTGTGTGTGTATTAGTCAAGAAAGTTATGTATATCAGCCTGTAAATACAAGATGATAAACAACCATAACGCCTCACAGCTTGGCCCAGTAGCCTGGTGGTTACAGGAGTCTAACTTGGCCACAATGATGCCAGTGATGTTAACAGATGTAATGGTGAAAAGAAAGTTATCTATAAATCTTCATTTGTTTCAGGTGTTAGTAGATTTAAAATAAATGTTGCAGGTATGGCATTAATAGATTGTAATGCTTAGGTATGGCATTAATAGATTGTAATGCTTGTAAGAGTTCAGAAATGGTCACTGCTTAGCTGCCTCTGAAGAGTTGGGTGTCTGCCGTACGGATGTTAATCATCTCGGGTTATCATCATCACTACAGTAGTTGTAAATCCATCTTTTATATTTACAATAATTATTTTAATTAAAACCTAATAACATTTAAGTAAGTAATAACAAATTTATTATTCTAGAGTTGTGTTAGGTAGAATTAATCCGACTGGAGACACCAACTGGAGGATTCATCAGCTTACAGGAGACCACAGCTTCACATATAGGAGACAGGAGGATTTTTGAGCCATTTATCAGACAAAAAAAAGTTCATCTTATATCCTGTAAAATACGGTAGTAAAGATATGTTACTAATATTGTATCTTTTACTATACCTACACATTATTGGGGGTATATTTTGCTGTAAAATACGGCAAATACAAAAAACAACACTCGTGCACATTTTAACGCTACAGCACAAGTATACCAAACACGGGTCTAATTTAACACCGATATTTAAGAACCTACCGGAAATATTTAACTTATGCCACTTGTAATCTTCGAGGTTGAAAGCGTACGCATCGTTGAAGTATTTATAGTCGCGGGAGTTGTCGTGGAATCCTCCGAACACGATGAGTTGTTTCTTTAGTGCGACCATTCTGTGTCCACTGCGAGCTGATGGGCCCCCACACTCCTGTAAGATGGTTGCTAGTGAATCCCTGATGATTAGACACTCCTAGTATATTTTACCTGATGATTAGACACTCCTAGTATATTTTACCTGATGATTAGACACTCCTAGTATATTTTACATGATGATTAGACACTCCTAGTATATTTTACCTGATGATTAGACACTCCTAGTATATTTTACCTGATGATTAGACACTCCTAGTATATTTTACATGATGATTAGACACTCCTAGTATATTTTACCTGATGATTAGACACTCCTAGTATATTTTACCTGATGATTAGACACTCCTAGTATATTTTACATGATGATTAGACACTCCTAGTATATTTTACATGATGATTAGACACTCCTAGTATATTTTACCTGATGATTAGACACTCCTAGTATATTTTACCTGATGATTAGACACTCCTAGTATATTTTACCTGATGATTAGACACTCCTAGTATATTTTACCTGATGATTAGACACTCCTAGTATATTTTACATGATGATTAGACACTCCTAGTATATTTTACCTGATGATTAGACACTCCTAGTATATTTTACCTGATGATTAGACACTCCTAGTATATTTTACCTGATGATTAGACACTCCTAGTATATTTTACATGATGATTAGACACTCCTAGTATATTTTACCTGATGATTAGACACTCCTAGTATATTTTACCTGATGATTAGACACTCCTAGTATATTTTACCTGATGATTAGACACTCCTAGTATATTTTACCTGATGATTAGACACTCCTAGTATATTTTACATGATGATTAGACACTCCTAGTATATTTTACCTGATGATTAGACACTCCTAGTATATTTTACCTGATGATTAGACACTCCTAGTATATTTTACCTGATGATTAGACACTCCTAGTATATTTTACCTGATGATTAGACACTCCTAGTATATTTTACCTGATGATTAGACACTCCTAGTATATTTTACCTGATGATTAGACACTCCTAGTATATTTTACCTGATGATTAGACACTCCTAGTATATTTTACCTGATGATTAGACACTCCTAGTATATTTTACATGATGATTAGACACTCCTAGTATATTTTACCTGATGATTAGACACTCCTAGTATATTTTACCTGATGATTAGACACTCCTAGTATATTTTACCTGATGATTAGACACTCCTAGTATATTTTACCTGATGATTAGACACTCCTAGTATATTTTACATGATGATTAGACACTCCTAGTATATTTTACCTGATGATTAGACACTCCTAGTATATTTTACCTGATGATTAGACACTCCTAGTATATTTTACCTGATGATTAGACACTCCTAGTATATTTTACCTGATGATTAGACACTCCTAGTATATTTTACATGATGATTAGACACTCCTAGTATATTTTACCTGATGATTAGACACTCCTAGTATATTTTACCTGATGATTAGACACTCCTAGTATATTTTACATGATGATTAGACACTCCTAGTATATTTTACATGATGATTAGACACTCCTAGTATATTTTACCTGATGATTAGACACTCCTAGTATATTTTACATGATGATTAGACACTCCTAGTATATTTTACATGATGATTAGACACTCCTAGTATATTTTACATGATGATTAGACACTCCTAGTATATTTTACATGATGATTAGACACTCCTAGTATATTTTACATGATGATTAGACACTCCTAGTTAATTTCACCTGAAGATTAACCAACCTATCATTAACCTAACCAAACTTTAACCTAACACTAACCTAACCTAACCCACAAAATGGATAACGTATAGCGAGAAATTGTTTATATCAAGGCCACGATCCTTACCCCATACTTACGTGATTTTCTCCCATCGCTTCGAGCTAAAATGAAATACCCAGAGGTCCTTGAAATGGTAGAATTGGGATTGAGTCGCCGATGTGAATTCCCCACCGAATATCCACAGCTGTCCCCCGCTCTGTTGACGAGTAAATAAAGGTTAATTTCCCCGAGTCGTTAAATCCGTGCGTTGTTTAATCTCGGTGTTATTTAATCCTGGGGTTATTTAATCCACATAATATAATCCAAGTTGTTCAATCTGCAGTGTCTAGGTACATTGTAAATATGTATGTTCTTTATACATGCTGAACTGTATACCTGCATTGTCTATATACATGGTGAACTGTATACCTGTACCTAATTTTACTAAATATATACAGCATCTATCTATCTATATATATCAATTACCCACCAATCAATATTTCTATCATCTATCTTCATTAATAAGGGAGACTTCTGTTTTGTTCTAAGCTCAAGCTACCCCAAACTGTAGCAAGATCTCGTGCCACGGATCAAAAGACTCCATATGTTATATACTTACCTGGGAAAGTGCGACAGCTTGATGGCCTGATCTTGGGGGCGGACTACCTGGGCTTGTTACCTTATGCCACCGGTTTTGTTTGATGGTGTAGAAGAATAAATCATTATACATAAACGACTGAAAGAGAGAGACAAAATTTACGTTAGGATTTCGAGTTGGTTGAAAGGAACGGTTTAGTGTGTTTGTTGGTTTATGACGAGGGGTTTGATTGTGTGTTTTATTGTCCCGTGTTAGTACAGGAGAGAAATTTAGGGTCAGGTTAGGTTAATGATAGTGTTAGGTTAGGTTAGACTAGTGTTAGGTTAGACTAGTGTTAGGTTAGACTAGTGTTAGGTTAGACTAGTGTTAGGTTAGACTAGTGTTAGGTTAGACTAGTGTTAGGTTAGACTAGTGTTAGGTTAGACTAGTGTTAGGTTAGACTAGTGTTAGGTTAGACTAGTGTTAGGTTAGACTAGCATAAGGACAGACCGGCATTAGATTAGACTAGGTTAGGTAAGAATAATATCAGAACCCAGACCTCCCCAAACACCGCACCTTACTCCCATTAAAGTACTCCCCGCCGAAGAGTATAAGCTGGTCTCTATCAGGATGAGGCGTTAGACTGAAGGATGAACGCTTGGAGGGCGGAGGGACCAAATCCTCCGTAACTGCCAGTTTAGACTTGTCATCCTCGGCGAACTTAGCGAGCAGTGCGCCAATGTCTTCCTGTACGAGAGAGAGTATTGGGGTTAGGTTAGGTTTATATATTATACAGATTAATAGTGGATATATGGTTATTCATACAAAACAGTTATACGGTTTATATACATATAGATCTATACTACATTCATACAGTTATACGGTTAGAGATAATCAGTTAACAGTCAGTCTACATTCAACCAGTCATATACAGTCACTCCCCGACTTACGACGGGGTTAGGGACCCAAATCCAGGTCGTAAATCGAAAATGCTTAAATAATCTAAAATGGGTGTCTCTTTTTCTTCTCAACACCACAAAACTCTCACTTTTAAGCTTGCCAGACATTTTAAAGTGAATTACAAACGAATATTTTGTCAGTACACAGAGCAATTACTGACGTCGAGACTCAAATATACGTAATTTGACAAAATGTTGGTAAGACTGAGGCGGTCGTAAGTCGAGGAATAACTATATAAATAAATGGCAGTCAGAAACAGTCGAAATTCATCCTTTTTTTTGGAGCCAGTTAACAGTTTTTGTATTATACCAGTTACAAGGATATTAAATGCCAGTTATTAAAAAAATCATCAGGTAAAATAAACTAGGGTGTCTAATCTTCAGGTGGTCACTAACATGGACCCCTTAATACACACCTCTCCCTTTGCTGCCAATTCCTTCTTTATTTTTTGAGTTGTTTTCTTCTCCGTCTTTATCGCTGTTTTCTCCGCTCCCTTTCCTTTCTTCTTATCTTTCTTGCCCATTGTCGTCTGTTCTCGTTATTTAAGCTATGGGGTCGATCGCTGCAATAACAAGAACACGATTAATAGATTTGTTTATATTGAGTTAAATCACTGAAATAACCTCGAGTATATAGTTATTTATATTGAGTTAAATAACTGAAATAACAGAAAAAGAAAAGTTTTATACTGTACTATGTTAAAAGGTCGATCATAATAAAACATCCCAAAATATTAAGGTCATAGTGGTTTAAAAATCACCATAAAAGATCCAAATTGGCCTTAAAATGAATGTCTACCCTAATTGACCTTTCCTAACTGGTCTAACGACCCTCATCTAACTACCATCACAAGCCAAAAACGAGCCTGGATGGTGACCTCTCCCCAACTACCACTAAAAACACCTTAAATCACCATAATTAATCACCCTACATACTTAAATCAATAGCTCCTTCCTTCCTTGGTAGAAAATCACCATAAATCACTAAAAATAACGTCAATAAAGGTGAAAATACGGTAATAATGATGACTTTACTTCTCGTCTGATACTCACGTGGGTAAGGTGTTATGATGTGGTGATGTTGACCAATTACCACGAACAAAAGAGCAGCTAAACTATTTTTCTTATTTCGGACAAAAATAATTTATTACATCATTTATATAATTATATATCGTGTTGAAAAATATTATATTATTTATTACTACCTTTATTATCGTCAATTTAGTAGATATTATAAAATTAAGATGACAGCTAATTATTTATAAATGACTAAAATATTTAATAACGTCAATTAATAAAAATAACCCAGGTTAAAAATACTATAAAATTTTCTGTTAAATTATTTAATATTAATTTCTTTGAATAATCTTTAATTAAAAAATATATAAATATATATTTTAGCACCGAGTCAAAGTATTACCTTAACATTGTTCTTCTTCAGATGACAACACTAACAAAATGTAAACAAACGGGAATTAATAAGAAATTAAATTTAAATAAAATAAATATATATTTATTGATGTTTAATATATAATTGATATTTAAAGCGTATTTATGAATATTTTTAATTATATGGAGAATAGAGATAGACACAAAGATAAGAGAGAGAAATAGCTTCTTAAATACTAATTATTAATGTCCAGTTCAAGTACTGTATCAAATTGGCCCTATGACTGTAATCTCTATGTACAGTCACCTCAAAGTCACCATTATCAATGTCATCATTATTCACCACACCTGTGTTAATTAGCCGTCATTACCTGTTAGTTTAAAGCAAATATTCTGCCAAATTCTAAAACAGATATGCTAGGCCTCACCATATCCTCTAATATGTCACTGAAGCCACACCTCCTCAACATTGCTAAAGCTGCCTCCTGAAACCTGGGAATACTGTACAGATGCCGTAGCTACTTCACTCCTGACCAGTTGGTTCAAGTATATAAGGGATTCATTCGTCCTAACTTGGAGTACTGCTCTCATATCTGGGGTGGCTCTGTTAGATAGGGTGGAATCAAAGGTATTTCGTCTTAACTCTCCTCCTTTAGTTGATAATCTTTCTCCTCTTTCTCTTCACCACAATGTTGCTTCACTCTCTCTCTTTAACGGCCAATGTTCGGTGGATTTGGCAGCCTGTGTATATCTATCAATCTACATCATCCCTCTGTCTACAGCACCTCTTTCTATGTATCCATCTATCTACAGTACCTCTTTCTATGTATCCATCTATCTACAGTACCTCTTTCTATGTATCCATCTATCTACAGCACCTCTTTCTATGTATCCATCTATCTACAGTACCTCTTTCTATGTATCCATCTATCTACAGTACCTCTTTCTATGTATCCATCTATCTACAGCACCTCTTTCTATGTATCCATCTATCTACAGTACCTCTTTCTATGTATCCATCTATCTACAGTACCTCTTTCTATGTATCCATCTATCTACAGCACCTCTTTCTATGTATCCATCTATCTACAGTACCTCTTTCTATGTATCCATCTATCTACAGTACCTCTTTCTATGTATCCATCTATCTACAGCACCTCTTTCTATGTATCCATCTATCTACAGTACCTCTTTCTATGTATCCATCTATCTACAGTACCTCTTTCTATGTATCCATCTATCTACAGCACCTCTTTCTATGTATCCATCTATCTACAGTACCTCTTTCTATGTATCCATCTATCTACAGTACCTCTTTCTATGTATCCATCTATCTACAGCACCTCTTTCTATGTATCCATCTATCTACAGTATATTCATGTATCCATCTATCTACAGCATTCTTCTCATCCATCTATCTACAGCATCTATATCTATGCATCCATCTATCTACAGCATCTATATCTATGTATCCATCCATCCACAGTATCTATATCTATGCATCCATCTATCTCACAGTATTTCCCTATGCATCCATCCATCTACAGTATCTATATCTATGCATCCATCTATCTACAGCATCTATATCTATGCATCCATCTATCCACAGCATCTATATCCATGCATCCATCTATCTACAGCATTCATTTATGTATCCATCTATCTACAGTATCTATTTCTATGTATCCATCTATCTACAGTATCTATATCTAAGTATCCATCTATCTACAGTATCTATATCTATGTATCCATCTATCTACAGTATCTATATCTATGTATCCATCTATCTACAGTATCTATATCTATGTATCCATCTATCTACAGTATCTATTTCTATGTATCCATCTATCTACAGTATCTAATCTATGTATCCATCTATCTACAGTATCTATTTCTATGTATCCATCTATCTACAGTATCTCTTTCTATGTATCCATCTATCTACAGTATCTATTTCTATGTATCCATCTATCTACAGTATCTATATCTATGTATCCATCTATCTACAGTATCTATATCTATGTATCCATCTATCTACAGTATCTATATCTATGTATCCATCTATCTACAGTATCTATTTCTATGTATCCATCTATCTACAGTACCCTCTTTCTATGTATCCATCTATCTATTCTATGTATCCATCTATCTACAGCACCTCTTTCTATGTATCCATTCATCTACAAGCACCTCTTCTCTATGCATCCATCTATCTGTTGCACCTCTTCTATGTATCCATCTATCTACAGCACCTCTTCTATGTATCCATCTATCTACAGCACCTCTTTCTATGTATCCATCTATCTATTGTTAATTCCTTTCTCTATGTATCCATCTATCTACATGTCCTTTCTATGTATCCATCTATTCACAGTATCTCTTTCTATGTATCCATCTATCTACAGCACCTCTTTCTATGTATCCATCTATCTACAGTACTCCTTTCTATGTATCCATCTATCTGTTGCAGCACTCCTTTCTATGCGTATCCATCTATCTACAGTACTCTTTTCTATATGTATCCATCTATCTACAGTATCTCTTTTCTTTATGTATCCATCTATCTACAGCACCTCTTTCTCTATGTATCCATCTATCTACAGTACCTTCCTCTTTCTATGTATCCATCTATCTACACAGCATCTCTTCTATGTATCCATATCTATCTACAAGCACCTCCTTCTATGTATCCATCTATCTACACACTTTCTATGTATCCATCCATTCACAGCACCTCTTCTATGTATCCATTCATTCACAGCACCTCTTTCTATGTATCCATCTATCTACAGCACTCCTTTCTCTATGTATCCATCTATCTACAGCACCTCTTTCTATGTATCCATCTATCTACAGCACTTTCTATGTATCCATCTATCTACAGTACTTTCTGTATCCATCTGTCTACAGCACCTCTTTCTATGTATCCATCTATCTACAGTAATTCTTTCTATGTATCCATCTATCTACAGTATCTCTTTCTATGTATCCATCTATTCAGCACCTCTTTCTTATGTATCCATCTATCTACAGCATCTCTCTTCTATGTATCCATCTATCTACAGCACTCCTTTCTATGTATCCATCTATCTACAGTACCTCTTTCTATGTATCCATCTATCTACAGCACCTCTTTCTATGTATCCATCTATCTACAGCACCTCTTTCTATGTATCCATCTATCTACAGCACCTCTTCTGTGTATCCATCTATCTACAGTACCTCTTTCTATGTGTATCCATCTATCTAGTATCTATATCTATGTATCCATCTTATCTATTGCATTCTCTTTCTATGTATCCATCTATCTACAGTATC